GAATGATCGGTGAAGCTCACTTTCCGTTCACTTTTCTCACGGGACTTTTATAGATGAAATAAAAACAACCAAGAGTGCCCATAGCATGTTACACTATAGCCTTTCTAAAAGAAAAAAGAGAAAAGGAAGGCGTGAATAAGACCAGAACGTTCAAGCCTCGCGTAGCACCGTGGCGACGATCTCGAAAACTACCGTGTAGGGGTTGGTTAGAGCCCTCAGGTAAATAGCCCCTAACAACTTTTTTTGCGTTTCGAGGGAGAGCCTCGCAAGCGACTTTATTAACTTGCTCTGCCGAGCCGTGTTTTGCCTTCCAAAGCAGCGTTTATCAATAGCATCCTCATCGTATCCAATCCCTCTTCGCGAGCTTCGTAATCCAACCGCTAAATACAGCGAACAATATCAGGGAGAACTAACGTACGGTTATCCCGTGTTCTAGGCTAACGGTGACCTCAAGCGTGTCCGTGGGGTGGGTTAGAGGGACGACGAAGCCAGCCACGGAAAAGATAGATCGTTGGGATCCGTGCTGACTCGGTCGTCGCATCGATCGTCGAATTCTAGAGTGAAGTAGACGAGCAATCGCGTACCAGAGAATTGAAATTTAGTATAGAACGCACCTCTTTGAACCTTTCAACCTGCCTTGCTTCTGACTTTCTACTTACCCCAGTGTCGTGTCCTCCATGCCAACAATCGGGAAGCAATCGATCCCTGGGTTCCCGCTCTACTCCATCCTCCCAAATCGGCCGTTTGATCGTGCCACTTTTTTCTCCTCTGTATTCCTCTCTCTCTCTCTACTCTGTCTTCGACACTCTGACGTTCGTTCTCTTTTCTTCACAGCCTGGGCCAACAGTGGCGTACACCGTCACACTCACGCGTTTTCCCTGCCGACAGCTTACATCTTGACGGTCCGTGCCAGCTGTGTTCCGCAGGAGACACGCTCTCTCGGCCCTCTGCAGCAACACACGACGACCCACGTCCTACTCATGCTCTCTCGCGACCAACGCGCACTCGTTTATCGCTCTCTCTGTCCCTTACCCGCTAGCCAGGGGTGCAAACACGTTTGCCAGAGCCACGGGAATCACGGGTAGATACCCTCGACCGCCAATTTTAAAATTTTATCGTAAACAGTGGTAGTGTTAGACTCGGTGGGAAAAATTTGTATCTAAACGAATTCAGCGTTTTACTGTTGATTTTTTGGTTTGATTCATGGGCAGAGGTCTTGTATGAATACTTGAATTTTGTTGGTTAATTACTGGAATCCTAACCATCATTTTCTTATAACACGCGTAACAACCACTCCTCTTCTGATTCCCTTTCAACAATCGTTAGGAATTTTGTAAGATTTCAGTGACCCAGCAGAAAGAAGAATAAAAAAGAGAAATAAAATAGTAGGTCGAGGGTGGAAAAAAAGAGCTCTGTTTCGTAGAGTCAGGGCGCCGGAATCGATGCGGTCCTCTCTGTGGATTTAGTGCATAGTAGGAGCGCACGCTCCCCCAGGGTAGGATTAGTCACGATCCCACTCGGTCGTAAAGTTTCAAAGGTAAAAGGAAAAAAGGTGGAACCTCGTAACGAGCTGTCACCTCGTGTCGCTCTATTATTCCGGGTATCGGGTCATGTACCATGTAATTGAACAGAATTTCGCAGCGACGTTAATTGTTTACCCCGTGAATGTAGCGCTTCTAGATTGCCTCGAATCGATCCCAGATGGCAGAAGGCTCGATCTGAAATTGATAGGAAACGACAAAGAACCCAGGGGAAATGGAATCGGTGTATCGTTCACTTCTTTTTCTCGGATTCGAGTGCACTCCGACGAATTTATAGGTTGCATAGTTCAAGTAGATTTGATCTAACACAGGGAAATGAAAAAATATCGACGATTAGTACAAATTTCATTCATAAAATTGTACCTAACGTTAATGTAGCTCTGCTTCATCGTGTTACAATTAAAGGGTAGATTAATATCTGTCATTCTTGGATACCACATTTATCTTTCTCTTAAGTTTTTAACTCGATAAGAGGCATCGTTCGACTTTCATCATCGTCGAACAATTTTCCAATGAATCCTGAGGAAACTTTTACAATTAACGAGCTTACAGTGTGCTCGAATTCGCCTATCCATCTCTGCATCTTTGCTATCAGATAAATATGGGCCCCTGCAAACAGAGCCGTCGTGACCTGCGTGGTCACCCCGGTAGAATTAACAATTGACAATCGATATTCTTTGGTTATAAAAGAAAGACAAAAATTTTACTTTTATCTATGATTTTTTTCATATCCAATTATGTCAACCAATTTTTCAAGAATGTTCCGTTTGGAATTTCCCTTCTGGATTCCCTTGGTAATACCGTCCACGCATTGTCCAATCGACATGGAACTATCTAACTCGACATGTCATCAGCGTCGTCTTTAAGGCCATAATTAACGAGCCAAAACAGACATACCCTATATAACCAATAAGACATCAATGACATTGAATTAAAACATAAAAATAACAACATTTAAATTCTATTTTTTCTACCTTTACTATATAGTGCACTCTTCGCAACCATAATTTATAACACTCCTACTGTAGATGCTTCACAGTGATTAAACTTTCGATCAGCAAAGTAACCTTTGACTTATGCGTTTAACCTCTCTGCACTCGTGGCACGAGGAATAAGCTGACTAATTTATTGGCCAACCAGCAAGATCATTTTTAAACCTTCATATAACGTTACTCTGAAACGCGAAAGCTAGAATTGTTAATGAATCATTAATAATGATCCATGACTGATGATCGACGTCGTGCAAGGAAACACGGCTAGTCTCATATAAAGACTTTTATTTCGTTAGTACGTACACATTTGCGCCAGCACAAAAAAGGATCGTATTATATAAAATGAGAACAATGCAGAGTTTCCTTTTCAGAGACTAGACACATATAGGGTGCGGGATTTCAGGGTTGGTGATACGTTTTTGTCCCCACTTTCTCAACTGTACATGTTTACATCACTATGTGTATCGATCGCGAAGTCGACGCAAAACAACTAACAAAAAAAACCATCGATAACCCTGAGATCCAACATCAAAAACATTTGCGATGCTGATTTGATGTTTCAAAGATGCGTCGACCGACTCTTCCCTACTCGTGCTCCTTCAATTTTTCACAAATATTTGTTTCCCTAGCACTGGAGCATCTAGAGCGTTTATTTTCTTTTAATTCATGAATTTTTCTTACACTGGAAACTTTTCCTTGTACTAGTAAAAATTGTCAGTCGAATTGAAACCGTGAAATCATTCCAATGTTAGGATTTAAATCAGAGCAAAACATATGACTGACCAACGCACTGCCATGAAGAGTCGACGAAGTTGCTTCGCAGTGTTTATGGTATTTACATACAGTGTTAGAAGTATTCAAATTACGCTAGTAAAAGGCAGGCACTAAGTGACTCTTCAAGGTTTCTCCCTTGCAAGCCGAATAAGCCAAAAACGCTCAACATCGTTGTTCTTCCTCTTTCCTAGTGTCTCGCGTTAACGATAAGCGATACCAGTAAATTTTCTTACCTAATTTCTATTCGATACATTTCCTAAATTTCCACGCAACAAGAAATACAATGGAAGATCGCAAATAATCTTTGATTGACAATATCGAAATTTAAAAGACGCATGATATTAACAACACTTGATTGACTGTTATCGCGTATCGATAACTGGTAAGCTTAAGTACACATTTCAAAATGCATGAAATCATAGCATGAATCATTTTATCGTTTCGTTTCCAAAAAAAGCATCGGTTATAAACATATAGATATAAAAACAATCATTACATGCTCGCTGTTCTATCGCCTACGTAAAAACATGTATTGCACAATTGAATTGGTATTACCGTTGCTAATATTCTCATAGAATAAGAACGTTTCCCATCGCCAAAACGTAACAATTGGATCGTTGCGATCGAGACGAAACTGTATAACGCATAATACCGTGCACACTTTTATTATTGCCCGTGATTCTTTTCTTTTTTTAATGGCTTCCTCGTGCCTAGCTGCGATCTACAAAAATAGTTCCTTCTTTTCTGCAGCCTGGACGTCACTTGTTTTTGTTTCTTCATTTTTTGTCACACTCGTTGCATTGTCCCGAAGTACATGACATTTACGAATTGATCCGTGAACTTAAATCAACTCAGCGTGCTCTTCGTCGAATCTTCTTATCATTACGACACGTTAATAAATCAATGTTTAACATTTCACCATGTAACATCTCTCTCTAACACGGTACAACTCATCTGGGTTAATTAAAGATTGATCCTCATCAATTAACACGATCGCTTTCTAATCGATACCAACGCGCTTGCGACATATTTTAATTCTACGTGATATTTCTTTACCGAACAGTTCATCGAGTCACTATAAATGATTTCCTTTGTACAATTGTGGTCATCATACGAAACTCTCACAAAACAACAGGGCAAAAACGGTTCACTACTTGAAAACAACTGGCAAAATCTCGGGTTTCACTACGTAACTAAGTACTTCATATCGTTTTTTTTTTTCTCACGTAGGCTTGACAGCAATCTACGCTAACGATTAACGCGGAAAGCGCCGAAGAATCGCGAGAATTCATCTGCAAACGCCAATTCAACCGGAATTTTTCGTAAAAATATTGTATAATAGGATATACATGTGTGTCAGTGTGTATACAGAAAATTGCGCCCTAGAAACTGGACTCTCGTTTGAAAACCTTCAAGTAGTACAAATTCAAAACTCGTCTTTCCTTCGATCAAACGCAAAGGCGTAATGCGCTACCAGTTCCTAACGTTTTTTGTATTATACCTCTCAAACCCTGAAGAATCGATAAATATAATTGCTAGAACGATTACTCGGCTGTTGTGTATGTGTGTGTGTGTGTGTATATATAAAAAAAATCCCGAGTCTCTCCGTGGTCGATCTACGATCAAGGTAACGTGACCCTCGTAGATCCTTTAATGGAGATCAGATCCCAACAACTGTCAGGTATGTTTCGTATCGTCCGACGATTCGCTGAAAAACCTTCTTCAGGAACGTATAGAAGACGTGGTGGTCGAAGACGTCGATACGAAGCGATTCAATTTGCTGTCGATTATTATCTCATCCCCGTTCCGGATGTTGTATCGATATAGCTGCTTGTTCGGATATAACATTTCTTCTGGTCCGTACTGCGCCTTCATCACCTGGTACACAACGAAATATCGGGGTAAGAAAAAACAATCCTTAGAACAACAGAACTCGAACTTAATTTACCTCTGATCATACTACGGTCGAAAACTTCGTAAATTTAATTGGGATACCCGAAACGGGAAAGGTACAAGAAGGGAGTAGAGAGAAGAATTTCTATATCGCGATTTCATGCTTCTTATGAGATCTCTCGAGGAACCAAACATTCTGGAAAAGCATAAAAAGAAAGCTGATAAGACAATAAGTCATCAGGGTTGCTAACCTGATCCACGTAAAACAGTCTCATCCGGTTCGCCGGGATTTTCACCATCGTCTCCAGTTTGGTTTTCAACTCGAAAACCGTTCTGTACACGTCTATGGATCGAACCTACAAAGCACCATCAATATTTATAGCAATATTTATAGTTTTAAGTGATCCAGGCCGCGAGAAGCCACGCCTTCCTTTGCTCGATTTCGCGTGCCCTCTCTAAAATGGTTTGTAAACCAAACACACCCACCCACCCTCTTTTACTGAGCAAATAAGCTGAATGAACACCAATTACACACAGCTGAAATATACGTATATATAGAACCCCCTCTTTTAATGGATATACCGAAATTTAATTACATCGGCAATTAAACGGTCCTCTGAACACGAGTGGTAAATTTACCTCGATCAGGTCTCCATATGTGAATGTAACCTTGACCCTCTTCTCGGGCGTCAGGTCAACATGTACCAGCGGATCCAGCTTTCCGTGAATAGCCACCAGCTCGGAGTACCTGAAAACGGAGGAACAGGGTCAGAGACGGCGGCGGCGGCGGTTCTTCAGTGACAACTATGGCCGTGAAACTAGAATAGCTTTATGGGTTCTAGTTCAGGCTAGAATAGAAGCGGTTGAACGCGATGACAGAGATGGAAACGGGAACTTGTACGCTGGAATATGATTAACTCTCCAACAAAAATAGAGTCTAAAGTATTTTGTTCGGGGCTTCCTAATGGAAAACTTGTCCTTGAGGCGTTGAAATCTTCCTAATACTGCATCAGAGTATCGCAAAATTAGTGAAATAAAACGCAGAATGCAACATGAACGGACAAAAGGTCGAAACCTTATAATAATATTAAATGTAAACGGAGAAACAGGAATTGAAGGCAGGAATGTAATTGTAAAAGATGGAGAGGCACCTTTCGGGCCTATCAGCTTCCGGTTTGTCCATGTAGTAGCGAATGAAGGCCCTCTCAGCGTCCTCCCGCTCCTGTGAGGATATCACACCGCCGCCGTTCAATGTCTCGACGTTTGGGAGTCTAGCGATTAACAACTGCCTCCTCTCATGCTCCGTGTACTCTCGAGGACTCTGCAATCGTCCAAAAATATTTTTATCTTCATCCTGCCTTCCGATTGACTTTGAATTATCACGTACATATACTTAACGAGATAGATCTTTGATCTTTATCTTTCAAAATACGAGAATAAAAGGTCACGTTGCTCATTTATGGAATAAATCGACGATTAAAAGAGGATTGTAAGAGGAAATTATCGAAAAAAACACTGCTAAGCATGGTTAATTAGAGAATACATTTGCTTTGATGATCAAATAATGCTTATTTCTCAAAGTTACACGCATAGATCCGTTCAGGGATGTTGATATCATGCCAACGTTTACTTCGGTAAAGCTAAAACGAATTGGTCCGAAGTGGCGCATACTAGATCAAGCTGTCGTAACGGTTTCACATTTAAATGCTGTTCTTTTTCTACTTCGACTCATCGTTCTTCCTTCAACCGATCGATTCATGAAAATACACCGCGGACAAGAACTTTGGAAACAAACAGTGTGATTCTTAAATAATCAAAAAGAAAAGAAAAATAACCGAAGTGAAACTTTTTATAATGCATGTAAGCAAGAAACAGTTTAAAGAGCTGTACCTCGAAAAGAGGACAACCCTGGATCCTCAGAGATTTCAGCACAGGAAACCTGGCTAGTCTCTCTACATCATCCCATGTGGACAACAGAGTGCCATTCACATTCAGGAACCTCAATTTCCTGAAAGGATCATGGGAGGATTTGATACTGATTCCACTGGACTCTGACTCAGACTCGGACCTGTCGTAGTTCACCTTCCCCTCGCTGAATATCCTATTCCCCTTCTCGTCTACCGACGTATTCTCCACGTCCAAATTATTCATATTCTCATTATCCTGACTCAAATTCTCCGACTCTTTCTTCGTACACGGCGTCTCCTCATTCGAGTTCCTATTATCCACAAGAACCAACGACCTTATCGGACACTCTGCTAATACAAGACTCTCCAAATTGGGAAAGATGTAGCCAAGCTTGGAGATCTCGTTCCAAACTTCAACAGGATTACCCGTGAAGTGAAGTTTCTTCAACGAATCGTTCCCATTCTCTGGCTTCTGATAATCCAAATCGACCGTCTTGTACTCGTTCAAGGACAAATGAAGTTCTTCCAGATTATGCAGGAGACGGATGAGCCCTTGTACCGTGGACCAGGAAACCCTGGTTCCATTTAACACTAAATTCTTCAACAGATCATAGCTACCATGCTTGATCTCAAGAACCTCGGCCAGAGAATTGAAGCTCAGATTGACAAATTTGATCTTGGGCATATGTTGAAGTATACTGAACACTTCGGTCCACTGGGACAATTTATTCTGCGCAAGATCGAGCTCTTCGACGTTTTTACATTTATTACGCAGCTTCTCAGCATCGTTCCCGGCCGATTCGATGTCGCAGTCCTGCAAGACGAGCAGAGCAGGCACCGTGTGACGGGGTGATTTCTTCGGAATGAAAATGCTGACCGAGAGGGCGGCCTTCGGCGAGCTCGACTCCGTCTCCTCGTCCGTGAGGGAGCAGTCGGTCGTTGAACTGCCGTACTTCAGCTCCAGCGCTTCCAGCATCGACGGCATGTTTACTGCATTCTGAAACCACACACGGCTCTTTATACTTCCTCTGCTATTCTGTGCTTCTTAATGTCAAACAGAAATTCAAATGAATTTTTTATAATCGTCTGCCTTAAAACCTTCTGAGCTCCTTTGCTTCACTATAAACTCTGTTTTCAACTTTAATTTGTAAGAAGATTACACGGTAGATATATACTTAGAATTGTAATGAAACAAAGTGCATTAGTGTCAGCCTCTGTGACATTCGTCACTTCAAAGCAATATAAAAATTCACAACAATTCAATAGTACTGATGCATTGTATTATAGTTAGACAAGTGGTCCCTATCTTCTGAGCAAAGCTGTATTCTACTCTAATTTCCCCGCTCGTTAACGAATTTCGACCTTCTCCCTCCCTCTGTGTCTAAAAATTCCCAAGTATATACCCCATTGTTCTCGCTGTACACCCCATCGCACTTCGATCTTCCTATTCTGCAAACGACACCATTGACCCGATCATCTTTGTAGAAGGAGGAGGATCTCTACTCACGAACAAGAAAGAAGAGACAAAGAAGAACTTCGTCGGCTCTACACAAGGTGGCTTTTGTTGCCCGGAAAAGGAACAAGAAAAGAACAGAAAAAAGAAACAAAAGGAAAGGAGCAACTGAGGCAAGAGAAAAAGACGCGGATCGAGCGGATCCTCGAGGACGGAATATCTGGTCTGACCATATCCGCAAAGGTCGTCGCAGTATTGTATTTTTGCGCAATGGAAAACCGGTACCGGTTCCCTTGTCCTAGCTGGAAAACGATTCCGTGACCGAACGAAGCCTCACCCACGCCATTCTCCTATCACAGGACTCGTTTTATTCCCTCCTCGTTCGACGAACACCATTTCTTAACTTCATTCACGCGGATCACGCCACTTAATCGATTTTGCACTCGTTACATTGTGAACAGGGCGGTGATTCGACTAGCTGTATCAAATTGGGAGTTCAATGTTTACTTGGACATCGAGACTGATCATTTCAATGTTTTGTATCTTTAAAAACGAGAGTTATTAACTGTTGTATAATGTATAGTCGATGGAAGCGATCGGTCAGAAATCAAAGTACTATACATAATCGTTGCATTACAGTATAATTAAGAGATTTGTCTGTACCAATCCATAATAGCTGCAAGTTAATTCTGGCCAATCCGGCAATTGCTATTGAGCAATAGTCGACAGACTTAATAATTTTGCCGTTTTATGCTTTAATTTAGGACATCCCTATATCGGATTCACCGACTATGTATACGTTTTTACTTTACACTGTTATCTAGTTATCTAAGAATTCTTTCACTGATGAATCTAACGCTGGTCACGAATTACCATCGTATGACAGTGAGTCGTTCGACTTTCACCATACATCGAATCACATTAATAGTTATCGAACGATGCCAAAATTATTTGAAACGAAGCTACTATTGACCCATACGTCGTGCTATGAAAGACAGCAGGCGAGCAAGAATCGTGCGGGAATGGAATGTGGCAGTTTCACTGGTCGAAAACTTGGAGAGAAAGAGAGAGAGAGAGAGAGAGAGAGAGAGAGAGAGAAGCGTAAAAGTGCAACGAACCACGACTGGGACGATTAAGAATCGTGCGAGAATGGAATGTGGCAGTTTCACTGGTCGAAAACTTGGAGAGAAAGAGAGAGAGAGAGAGAGAGAGAGAGAGAAGCGTAAAAGTGCAACGAACCACGACTGGGACGATTACGACGGAATATTGCGAGAGCTAGCCGACGTTAACGGGCGGAGGGAAACGTTGCGTCAATTTGGCGAAGATCCGACGCGCCAGAGGCCGAAGGAAAAACGCGTCCGTTTGGAGACAGGCCAACTCATGTCGTTTTCCATTTACACGAAACTTTTCAGCCACGATTCGCTGTTCTGTACACCATACCTCGCGCTTTCTAACGCCTGTTTCACGTCGTTACTAATATCGAACAACGTTTCATAGTGGATCTCGCTCGCCAGCACGTTAGAAAAGCGTCACGTCCATCCACCATGGTTCACCAGGAGGGGGAAGCAACGTAACTGCGAAGCACGGTTCCAACCCTGTGGAAAACCGCAGGGAAAAGAGACAAAGGTCCACGCGATCCCGCTTGTAGCACGGCAGTGGACCGACATAATAGTCGTTGTTGCATTATACTCCCCGGCTTCCCCTACGTAATCGCAATATCGGTTCAACGGCCATGCGAAATTAACTTTCTCCGGCACGGGTCTGGCAACGAGAAACCTACTAGAGGCAGGCAGTGTGTTACTGCACACGGTGGCTAACGATGTGCTTGAGGCTGTTTGAGACCAATTCGCAACCGGTTCACACAATATCCCAAGACACGCCGTTCCGTTTAACCGATTTCTAAACCAACCGTCTGATTAATGGCTCGGTGAATGAAAAGACGGCTCGATACAATGGCAATTAATCGGCAGGCGTTTGATATGAGCGGCGTGAGGCGGTCGTGGATACTCGAGGCTGATTTTACATATATATCTTCGATCCACATTCTCTTGGGTATTTTCAGTGCGTTGCGCTCACGAAGAACGATCGACGCAGAGGGCGAACAGAGGTTGTTTCGAGTTCTATATATTATTCCTGTTAATGAAATTCATTTAATTATTTCGAATGGAATTTCGGATTATACGTTACTTGATCCTTTAAGTTATCAAATATTGTATGACGTAACTGTATTAGTAAATCTGAAGTAATTTTAAAATGGAATCGCATGACTTGGCATCGTCGAAGGTGCACTGGAATCGCAGCAACAACAGGTCGAAATTAGTCACTGAATACTGCGTGTCTTGGGAGCACGGAAGGTCCTTCGGGTAACTCCTTTCCGGGTGGAGGAGTGGGAGGGGGGCACAGGTCAGGAACAAGTCATTTGTCCGCATAAAGTCTGAAATTTATATATGTCGAATTTTTAAATAGTTTAAGAAGAGCAGTTTCGAATTAATAGGTTATATGTAAAACGATTGTAACACAATGCATTTGGTTGCGTCACGTGACTGCAATATTTGTTAACTGGTCTAACATCGGAACTAAGTAACAATGCTACATCTGAACACGCTACTTTCTCTTCGACCGATGATTTTACATGCGAACAGTTTACATTCGTTAAGTTAAATGTACGAATTGCAATAATCGATCGAAGAGAAACGAATTCTTTTTCTTGGAACTTGTGCCACCCGAATATTCGTTAAATTCAAAAATTCTAATTCGACACGTTAGGTTAGAAAATAAACTGAAAGCAAGAACAACAGAGTTAACAGGTTAAAGTCGACGAAGCGTGCAAGTGTCCCGAACAGCTGACGATTCACCAAGTTCCGGTGGCGGTTCAACGATATTAACGAATTCACGAGTTGCCTCCACGCGTCTAAATATACGCCCGCCAGTGACTGTTACGAAATGTCAAGCAGAAGCAGCCGAATATACTGGGTCAGACGGAAAGCCAAGCTGTTTCACGTGTCTGTTCTCTGAACGAGTGATTAGTCGCAAAGAGAAAGGTATCGCTCTTTTCAACCAGTATCGATGATCGAATCTCTTTACGGCCATGTTGCTCTTGCGATATCCTAGCTGGTTCCTTTATCGACGCTGCAAACTGCAGTAATCATGAAATAGATTGTAACAAACATAGACGATGACTAGAGAAAACGCAGAGGTTCTTAAGTTTTCGATTCTTCAAATAAAACATGATTGCGCGTTGCTCAAGGACTTGGAAAGTCCCCTCTCGAGGCGGAGAAACATTTTCTACCATAATCTTCTCAAATTATTTTCGTTCGACCGTCAGGAAATAACAAAAACGGATGAACTAAACTTTCTAACCTTGGACGGAATAAAACGAACGCAGATTCAATGTTTAAGGTGGAACACGTAGATTTCATTTATGTATAAAAGAGTAGCACAACATGGAAGGAGAGATGATCGTTTCGACTCGAGTGGGTCCATTGAGAAAATCGGTGGAGATCTATTCTCTGCCCAGAAAGCAACACAACGGTGATAGAGAAGGAAATATCGACGAAAGTCCGCTGCTTGTGTGCTGCGCAAGTGCTCTCCCGCCTCTCGGAATATTACTCGGTTGCCCAAGGTTGCCGTTCGTTCTGCTCACAACCCGAGCGCATTATACACATGTATAGACATATCTATGTACCACGCACTACACTACGCACACATACACACGGACAAACCTTTGCGACATCGTGTTTACGATACACGCATGGATCTATATATCTCTCGTGCGATTCAACTCATGAGCTTTTTTCCATCCTGAAATCAGCGATATGATATTCTTTCTGACTATTCCATGTATAATTCAAGGTTAAGAAGAGTCATAAAGAAGACGCAATCGTAACATCTGCTTCTTAACCTCTTTACATGCGCAACACTTCTATGCGATTATACATTAAATTATTTAATTTAAATAATAAACATAAGTGATATCAAGTAATAAACAAGCTTATTCAATTAAAATTGTAAAAGATATTACCGTTGCACGTTTGCTGTTATGAAGTATGAACATTACACGTTGGTTGATTGCTTACTTAGTAGCGAAAAAATTAAAGACGCAAATGGAAAAAATACCAAAGAGGTCCGTCGTTTGTTCTAGATAGTGCTCTAACGGATTACAAAGCAGAAAAGGCGATCGACAAGATTGGGAAATGCTGTATGCGCATGATGCACGTATTCTTTGTTCGTTTCTCGGCTTTTAAGAGCGAGTCTCGCATCGGTGCACGGCAATTATCGACGTGTGTATGAAAGCCAACCATACATCGAACACCGTTCACTATATAAGAATATATACACACGCGTCTCGTCTGGTCTCGTCGGTACCAGGCCTCGCCCGTCTAAACTGATGAACGCTTCATCGACGCTAACATACGCCACGGATCAACGATTTAACGCGGGCTAAATCGTTCCTAACGGATAGATCGATTTTACAAGAGAAGAATCACTTTCCCTGAGATTGTTTCTTTTATCTCTAGCTTTTTTACTTTCGCGAAACCCGTTTTGAAAATCAGTCGTATAAAACAAGTTTACAGGTGAATCTCGTTTAGAAAAAAAAGAAACGATTATTCATCCAGTCGGAGAAATCACTTTCCTTCAAGAAAAAACATTGCAGGAAGTTCTCGCTTGCCTTGGAGTGTGCATCGATAGGAAACAGCGATGAAACAAAACTATTCGTAACGTTTAAATTAACGTGGATAAGCGCGCTAATTACTTCCCATCTTTTAAACGTACAAAAACTATAGATATCTGTGTTTCTTTATGCTCCACAGGTGTAACAAACTGCTGCCTTCGAATATTCGAACATAAATAGATAAGGTTAACCGCTTGCATGCTCGTGGAACAATGCACAAGGCTTACTTTCAAAATCATTTATTTAGATGAGTATTTTTGGCACAGAAACACGCACACCGTGATCGTAAACGTTACAGAAGCGTTATTCCCAGAGTTGAGTCGCGTTCGTTTACATAATCTGCGTTGTCCATAAGTGTTCTGCGCGTGAAACGGCTAACAACGATGGAATTCCTCTAACAGAAGATTTCCAATGAACGAACACAGTGAAAACTTTTACTTTTCTTCTACAGAGAGAGAATGAATGAATGAACGCATCGTACTCGAATAAATGTGATAAGCTATCACTGATAACGATGATCTTGGTATTAGCTTTATCTAATCGATTCTCGCGATACAATGTACCAGTGGAAAGTTTTTAAATATGGCCGTTTCACAAGGAATAGAAAATCAATAATTATATAAAAAAGTATTAACTTTTGCCTTGTAATACTGACTGTCAGGTATAGAAAAGTTATTTATATCTATAATAAAATTGAATTTTTAATTCTGATAAGTATATGTAGACGCTAAAAACATTACAAAGCAAATGATTAATCGTAATAACTTCGGAAAATGAAAGAATCTGAAAATTGGCGACGTAAAATCCTCATTCGAAACAGCATTTAATGCTGCATAAATTTTGCGCTTCCTTATGTCTGAACGAATGTGTTAAGTACTGTTCCTTTCATTTATGCTGGCCTTGAGATTAGTAGACAAGAAACTACGCAATTCTCACGACTCCTACCTCTTTGTCGTCGAGCTTCTTCTACGTTTCTATTATTTGTTGATTTTTACGTACTTTGAGAACTTATACTTTCGATCATTTGCAATCCACTAACCTACCACCATGAACGACATAAGGTTATGAATTCATTTTTTCATTCTATCTAATTACCACTATCATTGCCTAGACATTTTCTAAGAAATACGAATTTACGAACCAGACACCCAAACGACACCTATAACCTACGACCAATGAATCGTCGCCTTCACCGTCGATAAATCAGGCAACCTTTCAACCTATCTCGAACAACCTCTTAATCTACTATATGATACAAGTGATATAATTATGGACATAATAATTGAGATAGAATATAGTAGTTTGTGGAAGCATTAACGGTAATGAAAATATGACGCTGGCAGCTGTCAAAGCGCGCTGACTAGAAGCGTAGATTGGTCGTGCGCGCACAGCTGATAGCGATTATGTAAGGTAGAGTGTACAACATATAGTAAAATACCGCCTATTCTATCTCCAAGCCATTATACACTATCGTTTTAGAAATTTGTAATAAATTATGTTAAAGATAACAATTATCACAAATTCCAACCTTTAGTGTATAAATCACAGAATTTTGACACATCTAAGAACTGCGTTTATTGATACTTGATATGGTCGACGTATATGTACCACTGATTCAGGTACAAATTCTAATTTAAACATACGCTCGAGAATTTTTTGATAAGGGGAAAGGAAAACGTTCGTTCTACATTGCAAGCTGGTTGGATCGATCGAGCACGAATGTTAGAAGCATTGAACGGAAGCGGAACAAAGACGCCGTACAAGAATATCGCGATAGAATCGGGTCAAGGATCTGCATCTGGATGACAGACATGAAATACGTTGCAAGTACTTACTGTTTCCTCGTCTTGTTTCGCGCTTTGGTCCTCCGATACCTGTCTGGTATCTCGTGGTCAACGATCGACGAGCTTATGAGGAGTATCCTCGTTAAATGCACTCGCGATTTTCGTTCGCAATCATGTAGCGAGATCGTTTCTTAGGTTGGTCAAAAAAAAAAGGTTAGAAAAAAAGATGTGGTGCCCCGTGTACGGACACACGAACGTGACCCGCTCGCCGTCCACCGTTGAACTGATTTCTAGCTCCTTTGTTTAGTAAACAGAAACAGCTGAGCCGCGCTACTGGTTCACGAGCGGTAGAGGTGGCGGGAGCTCGAGCTACGCTCGTTCACGTAAAACGGTGACTGTACCGCGCAAGCACATTTGTTGACAACGGTCACGTGGTCTCTAGGAGTCGACCAATAGGTGAATTGCATCCGGCAGTAGCGTATTGTGATATTGCAGAACTAGACCTAATGATGTAATGAATAAAGAAATGTCCAATTAAATAAAGTTTAATAACTATACAGCCCTTTATGACTGTGGTCATACTGTAAAATGCTCGTACGTTAAGGATGACTACAGTCAAAATTTCGTATTGTTGGAAAGATTATTATCTTTAGTAAATAATATGTAATTGCAAATTATTGGATGCATTTCGATTAAAAAAGTAAAATAGGACGCAATAGGAATTTCAGTGTCAAGGCAAAAGAAAACGATTCACGCGATGGAAGAAAATTTCATAGATGAGTCTCTTACGAAATGTGAATCTATAATTTATTGATGGCAAAATAACAGGAATTTTGTAACACGTTCGAGGAATGTCACAGAAACGGCGTTAGAATGAAGCTGTGCTAGTATAACCTGTTTTACCGTTATGAAACTTACCGAAACGTACAGCAATCATGATGCACCATAAAAATGCCTTCACGTATAAGTATGTACATAGGTAGTTATAGGCAGTTATCAAAGTATGAATTAGGTGTTAATGGAAGATGTTTGGAGAGGAATTCTTAACAAAAGCATTTTCAACTCTTCCCTATGAAATTCGGAAACGTTATTAAAAGGAAAAAGATTAAATGAAGTTGACATGTATGAGATTTCGATTTGATAAATCGAAAATCGGCATATGACCTTTATCGAAAAATCGCCTTATCGTTAACCCAATTTCGTCCCTTAAACAATGTTATATATTATTTATTGATACATAGAATTTATCAATAATACCATCAGCTAACAGTGTTACACTTGTTTTTGTCTATTTCCTCAACGGGTTGCCATTTTCTCGTCTTTCGTTTGCGAAATTATAATACATACATATTTATGTAAAGAAGAGCATCCAGCTCTTCTTCATCGTCTCCTGTCTCTCTTTTGTCACTTTGTATACATCGCATTGATTACTATTAGATCACAATTACAGATCATACATACATGTATAATTACACATTATGACATTACATACACGTGTTCCTATATATACATATATAGATTAGATACATATATATATATAAGATTAGAGAAGTACTCCATCTCGATTCTTCCAGGGAATGTTTCGACACTCTTGGTCATCCTTTGCTTGTCATACTTCGAGGCTCGATGCCGTCAGAAATGGTTAAATCATACGTCAACAATCGAAACAGAACGTTATATTCTCTCTCCCTCTCTCTCTCTCTCTCTCTCTTACAGTCACTTCCATTCTTCTTCTATACTACGCATTTCACGTGCTTTTTTTCAAGATTAAAGTTCGTGCACTCAACACTAAGCATTTAAAGGAATCTCAATTAAGCCGCGGACCTACACATCAACGGGGATACTAAAATAGTCATGCACTCGTGTCTTCACAGCTATTCGAAATGCTGGAGATACTGTCTTTTATGAATCGTCGATAATACTTCTATCTTCATTCTTCGTTGATACTGCAGGTTAATGCAAGCGGTAGACATTGAACTACGCTTTATTTGGCCGGCTAACAATCAGAAGAAATGATTACGAACAAAGTGCGCAATGTATTGAATGTCATTATGTATCTGTTTAACCGAAATACCTAGAAAAACTGTAGTTTATAGAATCTTGTAAAAAATTTACTTTTCGACGTTTCATAAAAAGCTCAACAGAGGGAATTATCGATCGATCATGGCGCGCAAAAGTGGCGCACGGAAATATACGTATTTAAGGGGTTTCTGTTCTTTCATTGCTCGTTTCGTACAAGAGCGGACGTTTTTCTTAAGTTCTACTAATTGTCGATTGTAGCACGACTCGTTAATTGTATCTTTACAGACTCTCTTCACCTGTACAGAACATTTTGTTTCATTTTTTTTCTCGTTTAGTAATCATTATAAGAACAACAACGATGCTACTAAATTTTTCTTTTACAATTAATTGTTACAGATTTGAGTTAACAGGATTATATCTAAAGTCTACGTATTTTAATAATTATATGCATATAAACTAATAAGTTCAGGTTGAGATGGTGACAGTTCTAGGAGCAACGACAAATGAAGATCATATAGGTCCGAGTGAAATCTACTTTATCAACGTCTTTCTTGCTCCAGTGACATTACTTTGAAGAACATACTCCAAACGTAATTATACATTCAAAAATTTTAAAATACAAGAGATTAATTTCTTTTGGATTGGCATCTGTAATGAGATTTGTTCTCTGACATTAATGGACAATTATTGCTTTAGACTGAACTGAAGTACTCTCTGATCCGTATCTTCCATAATTATGGTCGATGAATTGATCATCGTTCAACAAATTAGAATGATGAAGGTTAATGGATCTTGCTATTGTACAAGGTATAAAAATTTGACTTTTATCTCTCGTAACGTTCTATCAATTTCTCATATATTATAGGACGACTTTTCTTAATTTATAGGTTAATAAATTCGAATAAAATAAAGTAATTATTGTGTTCTATTGGGAAATTAAATTAGAATCATAACCTCCTCTTACTAGCAACAGATTTAATGCTTTTCCTATCTGTCTTTCTTACTTTCATACATTCGTTCATTTGTCTCATTGTCAGTCACACTGGTCAAACATCGATAGGCTTGTCAACATCACACATAACCTCTAATTTAAATACCTTCACTAAGTATCTATACATGCATCGTGTGTTTAAATAAATCTTTCCCTTTAGATATACAAACGTTGTCATGGATGTCGCACGATCGCGCAATATTACACGTAGTTGAGATCACGAGCTGGAAACGTCATGTCCCGAGTTAAACTTTTCGCAAAATTTTCTCGGGATCCATTTAATGGTACCAACGCAAACAGACCGTCACGTCGCTGGTTGAAAAGCTTTGCACTGTTTCAAAATACGGAATGTAATTTTCGTATAATGCAGTCTTTTTTTAGTTTTTAGTTACTTTTATATCCTATTACAGGAAGTATTCACTGGCACGATTAAACGATGTTAGCTGATACGATACATAGGATTGTTCGACTGAATATATTTTCAGGAGTATGCAAATAGAAAGAACAAATTTGTAATTAAAAGAAAATGTACATTCGCATTGACACGGATCAGAGTGACAGTCTGTAACCGACAGTATTAATTAATAGCTCTAACTGTCTATAAGTTACTTGGCATGTCGGCTGACATTTCTACACGTCGTTGGATTAATTACTAACCTATATAGACTTAGCGTAACGTATGACCGGTGATTCGACACCTGACTTTGTCATACGATTTTCTTACAAGGTAAGGACTAGAATAGACTCTCCTGGTCTCCTTTGCAGGATGACAAAATTTCCAACGAAAACTTCAAAAAACTGAAACTTATACGGCTAAATCTTCATTCTCTTTACGTAGAATTATTTAAACGATTTTGCATCGTTTATCTTACCTATAGATAAATATATTTTTTAATTTTTTTACATATTCTTAGGAAATTTACGCGGAAATTCTTTAATCGACCCAATTATTCAAACCCCCGAAAAAATCCATTGATTGACTCGACAAAGAAATCTCGAGAACAGAAACTTACGACTAGGACTTGGATATATCGATCTGCAAAGCGTTTGAACGTATTCTCGCAGCATGATTCGCGTACAAGAATGAAATATTATTAAGGACTAGATAAATTGCAGTCTCCCATGCTCACGTTAATATTATGCACACAATGCATCCGTTCTTTGCCTCACAAAATTGTCGATACCTTTTTTCTTTTTTATTATCATTTACTTACGTTGCTATTAACAGACGATTAATCTCAATAAACTACCTTTCAAAAACGACTAGATAACATTTGATATAGTTCATCTGCAAGCTCAAACGATAAGATATGCGGTGCACGTTCCCTCGAGTTATAACGAGTCTCTTAATTAATAACTATTGTCCTCCGGTCATCGTGTTGTTGCGATAGAAGTATTAATTAAGATAGATTCAAGTCATAACATTCATTATTCACTGCGTAGTTTGTAGTTCAGAACAACCTCAACTTCTCCTTTAACCTATCAATTTTTCTTAGTACAGAGACAATTTTATTTCTATATTTTTATATCAGTAATTAACGTAAGAATGTTAAATGTAAGAAAGCTTGAAGAATGTGAAATGAACGTAAAAATAAATAATGTATTTATCGTAAACAGTGAATATGTTCAAAATTGAAGATATTCTTTATCCAATTGTCGAATAATGTAAACATGGATCTGTGTCTGAAACACACGGCTGCCAGGGCAAAGCCTTTCACCGCGAAATGCGCGTATTACTACTTAGCAAGCTAAACCGAACGTAAAATCAGTATTGTCCTCCCTTAAAAATTACTCCTCTCATACATACATCTCGTTTAAACTGCTATGCGTTACGTGAACACGCGGCGACACCGGCGTTTCGCGACTCGTGGTGGTCGAACTCGAAGCGGTAACACACGAACGATTATGCTAATCGTGTAATACTCATGTGCGTTCGAAATTACCGAAAAAATCTCCTCTTTCAATCATTCGCAATATTATTCATTAATAGAACGTTATGCTTCAGCTACGAGTCGTGAAACGTTAGGTGTTCAGTCACAGGCATCATTTTCTTTCTGTATACACCTTATCATTAACAAGTAGCGACCCTCCTTAGTTTTATACGTGTTTACCGTTACCTTACGCATCACCGACTGGCAATTATTCGGAGGAATCCGAATCAGAGTCTGCATCAGCGTCAGCGTCTGAGGCTTCCACTTGTGTCGTGGTTTCTGGCGTCGTTTCCGGAATCTTTCTGGTGAACGTTGCCGATACGTACGCCCCTGGGCCTTCACCTTGCGTATGCTCGATCCCGACTCTAGTCGAGGAATGACACAAAATGTTATCGTCTCTGTTACATAAGTAGAATGTTTGGAGTTTTTGTTCGAGACTTTTGAACACGCAAAGTATGTTTCTCTAATAAAATATTTCACCGTTTTGTCACTACTGCAGTTAGCTTAAGCATTATACTGATACTGGTTAAATAAAACATCTATCGGTGTATTTTTTGGGAAAATATCTTTTTAGAGGCTCATACAAAAAATTCAGTCTTAAAATTACAATGTTTATGAAGGTATAAAATACCTGTACTCGTGTCGTGACAAATTTCTGACATATTTCTCTGGTGGAGTGTCGCTGTCGCTGTTCTGGAAGCTGACGCTTCTCGCTGTTGTGTGAGACACTTGAGTGGCTGGCATAGTGAACTCTACGTAACAATATTCGGCTAGGTTCTCTGGGATCTGGTCGAAGGATGTTAGGGCACAATAAAATAACGATACCTTGGCCTTCCTTGGGTAACCTAGGTATCCTCCAAACGATAGCGCGATGCTGATGCTCATATTTAGCCTGCCCCGACGTCACTTCCATTAACTGTGGCTCCAAATTGTCCACTGCACCCAGGAATCTCTCTATACCTTTAATTTTTCCCGTTCTCCTGTGAGCAGATTTCACAGATCCGTACCTAAAGTGTTTCTCCACTCTGAACAGATAGATCCAACATTCGGGGATAGGGAAACGGATCATCACGTCTTCACAAGGCACTTGGCCGAGTTTCCTCGACGCAAATCCCGGCACAAGAATATCTGCCTTCAACTCTACCTATTAATATAATGAAAATTGGGGTCATAGTGGGTGGGCGTTGCTTAAGAGGCATAAGAATATCAAAAGCATTCCAAGCAAACTTCGAAAGCGATAGTACCTTGTTACCAGTAATGCACATTACAGCTTTAAGCTGAAGGGGAAGCTCCCTGTTTTTGGGTGGTCTTACACGGAACCTCATGAGCTCAATATAGCACGCATTTGGTGGCTTGAACCTTCAAACGGGTTAGTCAGGGGTTAATCGCAATTAGCTTTTCATTAGTACAGCTATAGTTAGAATTTTTTTTTAGGCAATTATGGGTTTTTTAAAAGGAAGAGAGCGTACTTAATGGTTCTGGATTTTTCGTATTGATCCTGTTGAACGCAGGAGTGGAACTCGACGTTCTCCAGACGGATCCATTCTTCAGTTACCACAGGAATAATGTCGTGTCTGCCCACAACTTCTTTTCCTTGTCTCCACATGTCGTTTATTCCTAACTCGACATCAGGCATCCCTGCAGTCATTGAAATAATTTTGTCAATTCCAATTGAAATTCCAATTTATATTTCATAAACACTAATGATTTTGAAGTGTCGGTGAATTTTTACCGGAAAGGAAGCCCAAGAAGAACAATCGAACGCGCGCTATCTGCTTCTCCACTGCACCCTGCGCACTTTGCTCGACATAGAGCTCGTCTACGACTGTTATTTGCACCTCTTCCATTTTATAATTGAGTGCCCTCTCTCGAGATGCTGGCAGTCTGAAGAGAGCCTCTTCTATGGCACAGGAGAACTGCTTCATGTCCTCGAAGCATTGGGAACCAAATTTGAATAGTTGAGAAATCTATAAAACAGAATTCACAGTCATTAATATCTCTAAATTCTGTGTTAGTTCAAATATTAGTAATTAAGGGAAAAAACTGTACTTGTGGTGCATGTTCTACTGGAAGACCCAGCTTTTTCAAGTCACTTCCAAACTCTCTCACTCCTTGGTAATCACCCTGAATGGCATAAGCAGCAAACTGACTGAGCTTATTCGTCAACCTTTCCGCTTTTGTGACCTGACCAGGTCGAACTCCAGGTCGTTCCTTGTAAAAGATATATTGCAACTTCACAGTGAATATTTTTCCAAATTGATCAAATTGCTGAGCACCAATATCAGAAACAGAATAAGCTGGAACTAGAGGCAATTCTTGGAAGGGATCCTTGGTGTCCCTGCCATTAAATAGTTGAAGCACAGGATTGTCGCCTTGATAGACTAATTTGACAAAGATTTTCTTCCAGAATCTGTGACCAGTGATTTTCTTTTTATAAGGCTGACGTAGATGTAGATCCCAGCCATCTCCAGTGTATGTTACTCTTGGGAAATCTTCCAGAGGTTGACTGACATCCTCATCGAATAAGGGTGTTGGTGGAGTTTCCTGTCACCAAATTGAATATGAAGAAATAGTACCATCTTGTAATAAAGAGCAAATTATTCAATATAAAATAGTACCTGAGAATCTGTCCTGGTCATTTCACCTATTTGAACAGCTTCTGTAGTAGGAAGAGCATCTTCTGCAAACCCTGACTTATCAAAAGGATTGAATCTTGGGGAAGTGTCAATATATGCTGTATTTTGAGGACTCTTTGGTGGTGGAGCTAACACAGGCACTGTCCCTCCCTCTAATCCAGACTGATCATCTTCCTTTGGCCTTTGGAAATGAAATATATATTAACCAGTATACAAATTGTAAGACGGACTGTAACGCCGTACTGTCAAGCGAGCGCGTGCGCGGGGAACAAAAGACGAACGTGTCTTTCGTCGTGCGAAGCGTGGGTACGCGCGAGCTTGTAAAGACACCGAGAAGTATCTCATTAAAGTTAAACCTAACACAAATAAATATTAAGTAATTTAAAACTTGAATTATTAATTCTTACTTAATGAATACACTAAAGTCTGGACCCTCATCAGACTCAGCAGACTCAGCCCTCTTGATTGTTTGCTGTGGAGGTGGAGCAGTCATATTCAGGAAAGAATCAAATGCATCAGCCTCTCCAAATCCAGTCACTGCAGTCTCTGACCCAGTTGCAGAAGAGTCACCCCAAACTATTGTATAATAAAAAAAAACAAAAAAAAAAATAGAAAATTAAGGCTTGAATAAATTTCTTTTTACATTAAAACACAAATTTGTTTACCATCACTGGATGTATCCATAGCAGTAGGTCCACCACCAAAGGCGTCCAAAAACGGATCCCCTCCAGCAGAATCCTGTTCTCCAGCCTTGTCAAACTTGGAAGCAAAGATATCAAATGCATCCCCAGTGCTCTCAATGGCCTTTGTGGTGGCCGCAAAGTTATCTAACTGTTCTTCAGGCTTATACGCTTCACTGGTAGGAAATTCAACCCCAGGAATTGGACTTGCAGATCTTACTCTGCTAGTATCTTCCGTAGGTTCTCTAAAATCACCCAATAAATCAGACGAAAATGGACCACTAGGTTGAGCAGAAGGTACATCCATCTCTGTGGTGGTAAATAGAGGTTCTGCACTGACTGGTTGCATAGGAGTAGAACTTGAAAATGGTGTATCCTCTGTAGTTTCAAATGGTTCAGAGGTTGTATCAGCAACAGAAAAGAACGCAGTTTCTGTGGTAGTTGTAGACAATTGTTCAGCAGTGCTGGTTGAAAACAATTCAGTTGCTGTCGTCGATGGCTGCAGAATCTCTGAGTCAATTTGAGCTTCTGCAGAGAAGTCTAAGTCGATACCAGTCTTATCAAGTTCTGAACCAACAACTCCTGTGGTAGAAGTTATGGAAGGCCTCTTTTCACTGGTTACAGATGCAGTTTCAGGAAAGTCTGACTTATAAGCATCTTCATCCTCAGCAGGTGACACTTCCTGCTCAGTAATACTAACAAATGGATTATCCTGTCTTGTGGTACTTGTTAGAGCCACCCCTGTTACTAAACTGGTGGTGTCTCCAGTTGTCATAGAAGTGGAGAAGATAGTAGTGGTGGTTGTGTCTGTATTAGGTGCATCAAAAATGTCCATAATGTCTTGGTTCTTCGAAGGTGATTCGACGACCTTGCTGTCATCTGACATGAGGTCTGGAACGTTCGAGTCGATGTCTAGGAGATCCGCGAAGCTGTGCTCCGGAGTGGGTGACGGGGAGTGCAATAGAGTGGGACTGGGCGTTCTGGTTGCCTGTAATTAATACTTAAATCAGAAGCAATCCAACAGGATTAAAATGAGTACACATTTTTAAACGAACCTGTAGTCGATCCAAAAGGTGATTCGACGTGGCGTCCATTGCACCAGTGACAGAAAGAATCAAGTCTTTGGTATGCTTAGGAGGTGTAGGGGGTTGAGGCCTTGGAGGAGGAGGTCTAGACGGAACAGCCTTTCCATTTTTTACTGAAGCAGGGATTACAAGAGCTGGTGAGGATGGCGGAGCTGCAATATCGCCAAAAATCTCCTGAGAAGGCTGTGATGGTACCGCAGTGTCAAATAAATCTGCAGTCGACTCGCTACTTGTCGTCACGAATATATTCGTAGGCTCACTAGCGAATATGTTAGTTACAGTTGAATCTGTAGTGGTAGATTCAATGTCAGTGCTCGGCGGTGCACTGGCATCTGCAGCGAACGAAGCGAAAGGATTCGTCGAGTCGACGCTGACGGGCGCCTGATACGCTTGATCCCCGCCAAAACTAAGAAAAGGATTCTCTCCGCCCCCTGTCGTCTCTGTATCTGCAAAATCTTGTAGAAACGGATTGGACGTCTGGCCAGCCATCTTGTCGTTGGATTCTGTGCCGTAATCGTCCATCAGGAAAGGGTTTCCTCCTTTGGAATCCATCTTGATTAATTGACTAGCTTAAGATTAAGTTATATGAAAACTTTCAAATAGTAGAACTGCATAAAATATTAGCAGAGAGTCCTTAGAAGGGTAAGAAGATGATAGATAGGACAGTAGAGCCTCTATTTCTTCATTAATTCAGACTCCAGTAATTTTAGTTCCGTTTTTCCAGGCCCTAGAACGGCAAAACTGGTGTCAAAGGGATCCACGTCCTCAGGTATAGCGAAAGCTTCGTTCTGCAGTGGTGTTAGCACTTTTGCTTCAGGACCTTGATCATCTATGCACAAGAAGTCTGTGGACACTTTCTTCTCCTCTGCTCTTGGATCGAAGTCAAGATCCACTTCAGGAACTACTACAGGCTTCGCTATAGCAGTCAGAGCAATAGGAGCTGGTCTCACTGGTATTTCCCCTGGAATATTCTCTAACTCACTCTCCAAAATTTTCAACTCCGCTTTACCAGGTAGAATATCAGCTGCAATGGATGTATCGAAGGGATCAACGTAAGAGATCTCCTCCTCCTCTTTCTCTAGAACTTTTGACTCAATCCTCGGTGTCAATGGTTTTGCGTCCACCTCGATCCTCTCGTCTAATAAACTCTGTTGTACCTCTGGTTCCTTTGGTTGTTGTTGCTCTTTGAACTTCCTCAATACTGAATTCTGCAGCTCGTTGATCTTTAAATTATTCGGCCTGATAGTACTTGCAGTGAAGTCACTCTGTCTCCTTACTGGCTCTCCCTCAGCTCTAGGATCAAAGTCGTGGTCACTTAAGCTGTGAGGCAACTTGGTCTCCTGTTTCAGTAATTCTGATTCTATTAGCTTCAATTCTGTTTTTCCTGGAGCTACTTTTGCCACGAAACTCGTGTCAAATGGATCCACATCTATTTCTTCCTCCTCTATAGGCAACACTTCTTCGATAGACTTCTGAGAGTAATATGGAGTTAGTGGCTTCGAGGGCAATGTTTTCTCTTCCTCGCTGGTTGCCAATAAATCTGGTCGCTTTGAGGGTGTTGGTAGCTCGAAAGCAACTGCCTTCGTTGGTGCTAGCTCGAGCACTTCCGGTCGTGATGTTCTTCGACCAAGTTCACCAATCTCTACACCGCTCTCCGGCCTTTCTTCCTCTTCAAAGTCGACTTTGAAAGTTGGTTTAATTGGAGCTGCAATTGGAAGAGGAGGTCTGGGTGGTATATTCTGATTTTCAACGATCTCTGGCTGCTCGTCTTTTCTTGGATCAAAATCGTCGTCTTCTAAAGAATTTGAAGGATTGGGTCGTTCACCAAGCAGCTCCTTCTCGAGGAACTTCAATTCTCCTTTACCAGGTGGAATTTCCTTTACTTGTGAAACATCAAACGGATCAACGTAAGTGATTTCTTCAACTGGTGCTATAGGTTCCTCAACCAGTTGACTTAGATCTGTCGTAGACCCACCTAAGAGATCCCTCTTCAGCTGCAGACCGCTGCTTCTCGTTTCATTCTCTTCTTTCAGTAATCCTGTCTCGTAATCCCTGTTCAGTCCAGCTGGATCAGTTAAAGATATAGTAACCTCAGAAACTGGTAGTTCTTCAAGTTCTTTCTCTATGAATTTTAATTCTGTTTTGCCTGGAAGAATATTTTCAGCAAAGGTGGTGTCGAATGGATCCTCTTCATCGACGAAGGTAGCTGCCTCGAAACTAGCCTCTACTATAGCCTCAGTTTCAAAGTCTACAGTCTCTGGTTCCTTGGTGGCAAATGGGTCTTCAACTTCCTCAAGCTTCACTGCCTCGTTAGGTTCTGCGTCTATATCGAACTCTGCGTCGTCCAAATCTGGAATCTCCTCTAATATCTTATCTTTCACTACATTCAAGCTGTCTTTATCCTGCAGTATATCAAATTCAGAGATATCAAGATTTCCATTCGATGGTTTAGCATCCTCATCAGCGTTATCTTCTTGGTTCTTCTTGGAGTTAACTTGTCTGAGTAGATCAAGAGGAACCTTGGTCAGATCCACAGGAATATCAGGAATATCTGTGTCGTCGTCTAACAAAGTCTTCTCTACTTCAACAGGCTCTGCAACCACGCAGCTTTCTACCGGTTTTTCTGCTTCCTCAAAATTGTCCAA